TCACAGGAATGGCTGCCTGTTGGAGTCTGACGAAGCTCGGGACACGTGGAAACTGGTTTGGGTCTCGGTGTGTTTGTTAAACTTTGGACATGTGGCACGCAGCTAAACACTCTCCCTGATCTCACCGCTTCACATGTGAGCTTCAGATTCCTGTTTATGCTCACTGAGTTAATTCCCACCACCTGAGCCGGAGCTGCAGGTTACGTCTCCAGGCGACCCGGCTGCAGGTCTTCGTCAGCACACTGACGCATTGTCCTCTGATTATAGACGTATTGGGCTCTTTGTGAGGCCGCTGGAAACAATCGGGATCAATCAAAAACCTGATGGACAGATTCAAACCGTGTGCAACAGCAGAACCGTCAGGACGTCTCAGGACTCTGACTTCATCATGATGAAGAAGTTGTGCAACAGTGTGATGTGTGTGTTCTGGCGTCAGCTGTGTCTATTAGTACCAGCAGCGATGATGTGTTCTACTTGCCCTCGAAGCGGAGAGCAGTTTGGACACGCAAAGTCGGCGCTGATTGGTTTTAGCTGCGATCCAAACATCTGTGAAAGCGCCCGAGGAGAAGGTGTGTGTCTGGTGAGGTCATGACGTCACTGCAGGCAGCACAGAAGCTCGTCGTCACACAGGAAACATGTACAGACACAAAGCTGCAGGAGATGTGCTCACAGCCTGTGTGTGTGTGTGTGTGTGTGTGTGTGTGAGTGTGTGAATATGTGTGTCAGCGGGTCCAGGTGGTGTCCTGTACAGGTGAGTCATGAGGTATGTTTCCGCCCCAAAGACACAAGAGTCACCACAAAAAGCAGCTCCTGTCCTACTGACAGGACTAAAGCTGTGCATCAGCGTCTTTGTTTAGCTTTGCATTTAGAGTCTAATGTGTTCTGTTCATCCTAAAAAAAAACAACATTCACTTTCATTGCAACTTGCATTTGCAAAATACCTCCATGTTTAGTCTGGGCTCCTCCGCAGCATTTCTGTGGCCGAGCTGCAGTGAGAGAACGCATACTTGGAACATCAGGAGAAAATATTGAAGACACTAAATTACGCTGTTGAATTACTCAGTGAGCGGCTGGGCGGCAGCTCACAGTGTGTTCAAGACACTTAGTGCTGCTGCTGAGCTTCACTTCTGGGACGGACGCAGAGCTTTCAGTGGGTTTGTTTTGGAAAAGACGATAAAATTACTATTTCTAAGCATTTTAATACTGTTAGTATCCTCATTTGACATATTACTGATATGTTTGGGAGATAAATCTGTTGTTGAATGTTCAGGTCATGAAGGTCATTAAAACCTGGAGGTGGAAGATCAAAGCTTTGAAAATGTGAAGATGCTTCCTACTGCTATCCCTTTAGACGCCTCACAGCTGTACAAGATTTTATTTTGATTTAATTTTTGTCGTAGAACCTAAAGAACCAAGTAGCTGTTGAGCTAAACATTCAGAAATGTTCAGTCCACCAGGTTTATTTACTCTCTGGAGCAAAGCAAAGCACATGGAGGCTGTAAGAGTGATCGCAAAAGGATTCATGCACTCCCAGCATGTATCAGTTTTGTACCTGGAAAGTCCGGTCGCTGGTGAATCAGTACTCCTGGATTTAACGAGACCATGAAGACAAAAAAAAACATTCTGACTAACTCTGAGAAAATGTGATTGAAAACCATGAGTTAGGGGATGGATACGAGATAGTTCACTGAATATACACTTAAATCCATCATTAGGAGGGTTAAGAACATGACACGTGTAAATCTGCCTACAGCAGAAAAGCTAAGTGACCGAGCAAAGGAAGAGTTACGAGATTGGACATTCATCTCAGTTCATTAATTCATACGAGAACTGGTTCCTGTTGGTCACCAGCCAGAGCTTTATGGGAGAGCGACAAGGAGAGAAAGTCAGTGTTGAAAAACTCTCATCAGACTAAACAGCTTCTTCCAGTCGAGATTTAAGATGAGCTTCTTTCAACAGCGGCTTCCTCTTTGCCACTCTCCCATAAAGCTCTGACTGGTGGAGGACATGCAACAGGAAAAAAGGGAAACTTTCCCAATCAAGCTGCTCTTGTTCATATATTTTTCTGTTTCTGTTGTCAGACAACAGAACGAGAGTAAAGCAATGACTGAAATGCAGCCTTTAGGTCAGAACTACTGGTTTAACAACAGCAACATGGTCCAGCAAATTCAGGAGTTAAAAACAGCTTTAATGTGTATTTGCTGATATATCTCCACATAAAATGATCGCTCAGAGAGAAAGTTAGACATGATAGATTATCCTGGTCTCGCTCACTCATTCACATCCATCAGCTGTTTTGCTCTGCTGTAGAGAGAGTCTTCTTCCTGAAGGGGGCGGGGCCATCCATCCATCCATCCATCCATCCGTCCATCAATCCGTCCATCAATCCGTCCATCCATCCATCCATCCATCCATCCATCCATCCATCCATCCATCATCTCTACACCTTAATCCTCACCAGGGTCATGGGGGGCGGAGCCTATCCCAGCTGACTCAGGGTGAAGGCAGGTTCACCTGGACAGGTAACCAGTCTATCACAGGGCTACACTTAGAGACAGACAACCAAGCACACTCACATTCACACCTACGGACAATTTACAATCACCAATTAACCTCAGCATGTTTCTGGACTGTGGGAGGAAGACGGAGAACCCGGAGAGAACCCACGCTGCACGGGGAGAACATGGAGACTCCACGCAGGAAGATCCCGGGTGTCCTCACCGGGACGCCAACCAGCAACCTTCTAGCTGTGAGGCGATGGTGCTAACCACTGAACCACCGTGCAGGAACAACAGACACTAAAACAACCCATTCAGATCCGGTGTAAAAGCGGGGCGTGTGCAGTCATGGTGAAATTATCCATCTCTGAGGTACTTTGAGCTGAAAGTGAAACTGAAAACACACTGTGGGGATGTACGGGACTTCATCAGTTTGCTAAAAAAAAAAGGTAATGAAAGGTCAACATGTGTCAGTAGATGTGAGGTGTTTTAGTGAATTGTTCTTCCTCATTAAGGGAAGATAATGTCATACGCTGAAGAGCCTACAGAACTTAAACTGACAGCTATGTTGTTCTTATTTAGTCTCTATGAATGTGACAACGTTCCTCCAGACCTAAACTCCATCTGGCTTCATCAGAACCCATAAATCTGGTTCGGTATTTGCCCTGCGACCTCTCTGAATGTCAGGAAAAGCCACTCCGCTGTCTGGTTAATTCACTCCGAACTGCCGGAGCCTGACAGTAAATAACATGAAGCTGAACCACTAGTTTGGATTAATCCTCGATCTTCATCGCAGCAGCGGATCCCATCATCAGCTTTTTTTTTTTCTTCCTGCAGTCTCTCCTTTTCCACAGAAGGAGGGACGTTTCAGTTATGGAACAATTTTGCAATCAATCTGCATCGACGCCACAGACGGCTGTTGTGAAATCAGCAGCTCGTGTTCTGTTTAACACCTTCATCCTCGGATCAAACCTGATGCGAGAATCTCTTCAGAGAACTGGTTTCATACGTCATCCTGTTGATGCTCCATAAAAACTTGGTGCTTCTGATGGATCCAACCAAGAAGGTCAAAAGGTCAAGAGGTCAGCATAGAAAGTGTTGTTATCTCATACAGTCTGTACTCAGGTAGTGATGAACTCTGTTAATATCGCTGTCTTAGAAGGTCAACAGTGTGGATTTATTCTCTTCTCTCATTGGTCAAGATGCCACCTGTTGCATGCATCAGCTTAGATCTGTTGTGTGTCGTCACATTGGTCCAAGTTCATCACACGGACAATTTACAATCACCAATTAACCTCAGCATGTTTCTGGACTGTGGGAGGAAGCCGGAGAACCCGGAGAGAACCCACGCTGCACGGGGAGAACAAGGAGACTCCACGCAGGAAGATCCCGGGT